ATATGCATGTGAAAGCTGGACAATGAATAAGGAAGATAGAAGAAGAGTTGATACTTTTTAGTTGTTGTATTGGCAAAGAATACTGAAGGTACCATGGACTGCCAGAAAAACTAACAAATCTGTCCTGGAAGAAGTGCAGCTGGAATGCTCCTTAGAAATGAGAACAGCCAGACTTCGTCTTACCTACTTTGGTCATGCTGTCAGAAGAGACCATTCCTTGGAGAAGGATATCATGCTTGGTAAGGTGGAGGGTCAACATAAGAGAGGAAGGCCCTCAATAAGATGGACTGACACAGTGGCTGCAACGATGGGTCAGGTATAGTGAGGATTCTGAAGCTGGCACGGGATCTGGCAGTGTTTCATTCTGTTGTACATAAAGTCGCTATAGTCAGAGCCAATTCAACAGCACCTAACAACAACATTTCTTTTGTCATTTTGCTCTTGTATGTTACCTGAATTCTTCTTGAATATTGTCTGTGTTTTCCTTGATTTTGTTTGTGGTTTCCTTAATCTCTTGGAGGTTCCTATTTTGAAATCTTTTGAATTCCTTATCAGGTAGCTGTATTACTATTCTTCCTCAGGAAAGTTTCCTGGTTCTTCATTTTGGTCACTGTTGTGCACCATCTTTGTTTCTTTTTTGTCTCTTGAGACATTTGGGTGTAGTATTTATTTGTTGGTTATGTGTTGGTTTGTTTCACTGTGATTTTTTGTTTTGCTTTCCAGGCAGGTGGGGTGGACGTGCTACTTTGGTCACCTATTTGGCAGCACTGGGCTGTTATCCACCATCTCAAGAATGGATGGAGTAACTGGTAAGAGCATGGTGTGGTCTCTGTTTGCTAGTCATGAAGAGCAGCTGCAGGTGGGGTGAGCAAGCGTTGTTCACCATCTGTTGTTGATCCAGTGGTGCAGGAGTAGGTGGTGGCACTCAGCCACTGGGTGGGACAGTAGGTGAGGAGTTGGTAGGTGTGGCTAACTTAATTTACTTAGATTTGTTTACATTGTGTCTCTGTCTTAATGAGGATTCCATGAGGTTGGCTTCTCATCCATGCATGTCACCTTCTGTGCCTCAAAAGGGCCATGCTGTGTCAAACCCCCCCACTCCATCTCTCTCTTTGGTCACTGTTTTCATTCTGTATCTTTTTCCAATTGGTGTTTAATCCAATTCCTTATCCTGTTATTTGATGCTCAGAACTCCAGGATTATCAGCTGAATGTGTCTCACTTGGTTTCTTGGCTCTTTGTTGTAGAGACACTGGGTGGAGTGTGTCACCAAGATGTCATCTGTCTCTTCCCTCTACTAGTATTTCTAATTTAACTAAGGAATGATAACAAAGAACATTCATCTTTGTTTGTTTCTTTTTCTCAGGAAAAAACCACAAGTCTTCTCCAATAAATATAATGCTAATTCATATCTATATAGAGAGTCGATCATATTTTTAAAAACACCCCTAATGTTTTCAGAGTCGGGGCCGACTCGACAGCAAATAACAACAACAACAACAACAATGTTTTCAGAGTTTTATCTATTAAAAAACAAAAGAAAACTCACTGCCATCGAGTCAATTCCAACTCACAGCAACCCCTCCTTGGGTTTCTGAGGCAGTATCTCTAGGAAAGTAGATTGCCCAGTCTTCCTTCCTTGGAGGCTGTTGGATTTGAACCACCAGCCATTTGGTTAGCAGTCAAATGCCTTAGGGACTATGCCATGGAGAGTATAAATTTATCCAGGTGCCTTATCAAGAGCTAATTACATTATTTTAATATTTTGCTTGGGTAAACCAACAGATTTACCTGAGTTTATAGTAGTTAATCCTTATAATATGCTATTGTTAATTTGCAGATATTTTATTCAGGGCATTTGCATCTATATCTATAAATGAAATAGGCCTAAGTATTGTTTTCATTCTCTTTTTGATGTTTAAGATTCAAATAATATTTGTGTCAAAAGGTTAAATAAGAATAATAATAGTAATAATCAACATTTATTGGGTGTTTACTATGTGCAATGTACTGGTCTAAGCATGTTATTTGTATTTTTAAAGTTTAATCTTCACAACAACCCCTTTAAGCAGATATTATTACTATATCCATTTTACACATTATTAATAACCATCATTGTCTATAGTTTAAAATTATTACTGAATAAATTATTGTTTCTTAGAAAGTTAGAAATTTTTCTTTATTGAAGATGTCTTTTTAGAAATTATCTAATAACCTAATAACTTTCTATTTCTATTACTGCTGTATTCATGCTTTCTAATTATTTTTGCATCTTAGGAGGGATATTTTATGTATTTGTAAGTAGTCATCCATTTTATTTGATGATGCAATGTATTAGCATAGAATTTAAACTAATATTCAACTTAAATGTTAATCTTTTTTAGTAGACATTAGATTTTTTTTTTCAACTCCTTGCTTAATTTGTATTTTCTTTCTCAATGGTTAGCTTAGTTTTCTATCAACTTTTTATTTTCAAAGAATCAACTATGAATTTTCTACTTAACCTAATTATTTTTTCTTAGTTTATGTTTTTAGTTTTATCACTCATATTTTGCCAACATTTTTAATTTATTGTTTCCCCTTCTAAATTCTTTAAGCAGTGATAACTATGGTTCAATGGTTAGAGAAAATGAAACACGAGGTCCCCAAAGTCAAAAACATTTTTCTCTACCCTTTGGACTTTCACAGAATAGGTCCAGTGTTCAAGTTGACACAAACCCAGAAGTGTAAAGGCCACCAGAGAAAGGGTCAGAACTGCTCTTGAAGCAAGAAAACAAGGTCAGCCCATGTGTTGGCTGCCTAAGGATCAGGAACAGAAATGAGATCTAAATGATCAGGAGTTCTGAGTTCAGGTATGTGTGGGTTAGTGCACTGTGGCATGGGGCCTGTACCTCTGTTTGATATATGACATCAGATGGTTTATAGACAAGATAAATCACATCAAGCCTGGTGAAAAAGTGACTCCCTTCTGAGTTCTCTCTCAACCCTTCTGATTACCTTTCAAATACCCAATTGGTGAGCCTGTTCCCCAATTCCTCCCTAATACATCTTCAACCAGAAAAAATCAGTTTCAGACTCAAACGTTTTTCTTGGTGATGATTTCTAGATAAAATTCAATAAAATAAGAAAAGACTGATTGCTCATTTATCATGGTGCTGTAATTTTTTTAAAAAAAATTTTATGGTGATTTAGATGAAAGTTTACAGAGCAAGTTCACTTTCCATACAGCAGCTCACAGAAATTTACTTTTAAAATAAGTGAATTTCAACTAACAAAATTAGTGGATTGAATAAAAGTTCTAAGAAAATAATTATACAGATGGTAAGTAAATATGGTTGAAATGTGGGAGGCAGTAGGTTGATAATGGGTTAAGGAGGACTATATCTAAAGTCTTACTCGATTTCACTGTCAGAAAGTCAGAAAAGCAGAACATTAGAACAGTTATTCATTTGTTCAAGACGACATGGTTCTGAAGTCCAGACACAGTTCTAGAAACTGGGAATATAGTTATACATAACAACAAAGTTCCCACTCTCATGAGTTGATATTCTAGAGGCAGGACCATAAGTAAGTAAGTAAATGCTAAGAATAAAAATAAAGCAAGATAAGGGTAGACAGAAACAGGGGTTCTACTTTAGACAGGTGGTTGCAGGAATTCTGAACAAAAAGGACATCTGAGCAGAAAGCTGAAGGAAGGCCTCAGGGAAGGGAATCGGAGGCAAAGGGGGTAACAGGTGCAAAAGTCCTGTGGTGAAACAGAGAGGATGCCACCATAGGAGGCCTACTGAAAGTGAGGGGGAAGGAGAAGATGAGACTATGGAGAGAGCAGAGGTCTGCATTATGCATGCCTTGTAGGATTTGCTGAGGACTTTGGATTTTATTCTGTGTGATAATGGGAAACCACTGGAGAATTCTGAACAGAGAAGTTAACAAGATCTGACCTACATTTCTTAAAGCTCATTCAGCTGCTTTGTGGAAAATGACTGCTGGGAAAAGGAAGGCCAGGTAAGAGACTATTACAATAATCTGGATGGAATAATGGTTGGTTGTGCCCTGGATGTCGCAGTGGACATAGGGAGAAGCAGTCTGATTCTGCATGTGTTTCAAAGGTAGAGCTGACAGTGTTTGTTAACAGTGGATGTGGGCAGTAAGAGAAGAAGAGAGGTTAGGATGATCTCAAGGTTTTGGCTTGAGGAATTGGAAACATAAGATAGGGATAATTGAGGCAGCAGCAGGTTTGAGAAGGGAAAGATCAATAACACAGTTTGGACAAGTTAAATATGAGGTGTCTTTCAGGCATCCAAAGGAACTCTGGTGCTGCTGTGGGTAAGGTATTTGGCTGCTAACCAGAAGATCAGTGGTTCAAACCCACCAGTTGCTCCAAGGGAGGAAGATGAGGCAATCTACTTCTGTAAAGATTTATGGCTTTGGAAACCCTGTGGGAGCTGCTATGAGTTGGAATTGACTTGATGGCAGTGGGTTTGGTTTTATCAGGCATCCAAGGGGCCCCAGTTACACAGTGGTTAGGTGCTTGGCTGCTAACTGTATCAAATCCACCAGCTGCTCTGCAGAAGAAAGAGGTGGCATCTGTTTCCGTAATGCATTGTTGGCAACCCTATGGGACAATTCTACTCTGTCCTATAGGGTCACTATGTGTCAGAATCGACTCAGCAGCAATGGGATTAGGATACGGTGAGCAGGCAGTTGGATGTAAATAAGTTTGCACTTCAAGGGAAAAATTCCAAACTAGAGGAAAAAAATGGGAACTTATCAACATTTGGATGGTATTTAAAGTCTTAGGATTAATGAGACCACATAAGGAATGAACATAGAGAAGAGATGGGGTCTGTGGAGTTGCTGGGACATCCCAACAGCTAGAAGTCAGAAGAATGAGAAGGAACCAGCAAAGGATGCTGCAAATGAGTAACTAGTAAGGTAAGTGGGGTGCCACATCCTTTAAGGAGGAGGGACCCACCAACTGTGCCAAATCTTGCTCCCCAGGTTTATGATGATGAAGCCTGAGATGCAGTAATGGTAGCCTTGATAAGAGACGTCTCTGGATTGGTGGGGAAGCCTCAAAAGGGGGTTCATGAAAGAATGGAGGTTGGGCAACTGGACAATGAGTAGAGACCATTTATTGAGGACTTTGGCTGAAAGGGGTGTAGAGAAATGGGTGATGGCTAGAGGGGAATGTGGGACTAAGTGAATTTTAAGATGAGAGATGTCTGTATACTGACAAGAATGACCCAGTAGAGAATTTCCCTTTCTGTTTCAAGTTAGATTTTCTTTAAACAGCAGTACTTTGAAAGATATTTTCATAACAAATGAGAAGCAGTAACAAGTAAAATTTCTTCTCCTCATCTGTGGGGGAGAAGTGGACAGAATCACCCCTGATATGAAATAAATATTAGGGCAGAACAATATTTGGTTATATTAATATAAACAAATATTAAGGACAGAACAAAGCCTCTGTCACTACAATGCACCCCTGTCCACATCTGTCAGTCTCAAAACAGATGTAGCCACACAAACAAGTTCTCTCTTCCTCTTCTACCATGCCCCTTCCCCCATTTAAACTTCTTTTCAGTCCCAGACCTGGTGACTTCAGGACTCCACGTTCAATTATAAGAGGCTTCAAATTAATTTTATCCAGTAGCACTTGTTCTTTGATCTTTTTTTTTAAGTAAAAGCAGTGAAATTGAAAGAATATGGCTGTGAAATCAGACTGACCTAGAATCAAATCCTGGTGTCTTTGGAAAGGAAAAAATTAAACTAAGTTTACCTATCCATAAAATAAGAGAAAGCATGCTTACCTTATAGAGGTTGTTGTGAGCATTAAATTAAATGGCACACAGTAGGTTCTGAATGAGTAGGTGTCCCTAGTTTCTTTCTTACATGAAGATTTTAGTTGATAGAAGCTTCTTGGGAATGAGAACAACATCCTTCATTGTTTCCTTCCTTCCATATCACCCAGTAAAGAACTCTTAGTTAGGATTAATCAGATGACGATCTCAACCATGATAAATGTTTCCCTTCATCTGTACTTTTCACCGAATACATTTCTGTCCCTGTAGGCTCCTGTATTTCCATCATATGGTTGTTCTTTACGCAAAGATTCCTACCTTTGGATCACAAAATACTTGAATCCTTAAAACATTTAATCAGTAAAAATTAATTTTGAAACAGCCATTTATCTTCCATACAAAGGAATTGCTTTCAATATAACCCAAGTATTCAGCTGGGACCGGCTGCACAGCTGAAACCACTGTCCCTATTATATCCTGCCCACCTGCACCGGGAAGTTCCTTGACTCCAAGCAGGCCCTACCTCAGCAAAATGATGCCATGGCCAAAATCAACCTCCCAAGACTGTTTTCCCCTTTTCACTCCTTTCCAGTTCCCAGGCAGGCCCAGAACCTCACTCCCATAGCTTTCCTGAACTGATTTTCCCCATCCACCTATTTCTCCTCCCCAATCAACATGGAAATCTCAGTCTTTTCTCTCTCTCTCTCTCTCCTTCCTCTTTATAAATTCACATTCTCATAGGATCCAAATCCCAACTAATTAGGCCTTGTGAAGCAATAAAATAATTACATTATAGCTAATGAAACTTCAGGAGCTCTGGTGGCATAGTGCCTAAGGCATTTGACTGCTAACCAGAGACTGCTGGTTCAAACCCACCAGCCACTCCTTGGAAGGATGATTGGGTAATCTACTCCCATAGAGATACTGCCTCAGAAACCCAAGGAGGGGTCACTATGAGTTGGATCTGACTCCATGGCAGCGAGTTTGGTTTCTTTGGTTAATGAAACTTTAGCTGAGCTCTCACTGAACTACTGAGTTCCAACTTAGTGGGGTTGTCTATTGCTGTCTCTGTTACTTTGGATAGTGGTCACAACTGTTATTTCTCTTTTATCTGCAGGGTGGCAACTCTAACCCCTCCCGGATCACTCTCCAGAGGCAAGTCCATTCCTGGGTGGCGTGGCTGAGCTGTCCCAGTCAGCAGGCCCTCCTATCCAGGCTTGCCCTGACCTACTCCATCCCACAGCATCATCACTAGGACCAAGGGGTCTCAGAGTCAGTGACAAGTGGCCCTGGGCTCTACCTGAGTGAACAGAGACCAACTATCTGGAGGGCAAGAAGGTGTGTAGTGTCCAACCATACCCTCTGGTCCTACAATATGTGCCACTGTGATCCCAGAATTCTGTATTGAAAGGGCCTGCAGCTGGCAGTCTTATTGGAAGTTGAAGGAAGCTACATTCTAGAGCTCTTTACTTAATATTGAGACAGTGTCAGTTACTCACATTAAAACACCAGAGTATGATGGAAATTTGGGGTCTAAAACATTCTAAGCAACTCCCTCTTTGTTGCCACCAATGAACACATGGCCACTCTATCACAAGGTCTCTCCTTTGAGGGGTAGCAGACGGGCCTTCATGGGTTCAGAATCCTTTGAGTGGTGAAACAGCTAAAACTCTGACTCTGGGCTCTATTGTGGCCATACTTACTGGCTGAGGCTTTTCCTCTTATAGGATAAGAGCCTTGTTTTAGGATTTACACAAAATGAATATAGAGATGTGACCAGATGTGAGTTGAGGGATTATATAAGCAAAAGGGGGAGGCAGGAAAGCCCCAACCTCTCTATAGTCTGTGACGAGTCTGGATCTCTCAGCAGGACCAGTCAACCATGGAAAGAGGAAACCACACAAGTGCCTCTGAGTTTATCCTTCTAGGACTGTCCAGTCGGCCAGAGCAGCAGGAGCTGATCTTTGGGCTCTTCCTTGTCATGTACCTGATTGGTGCAGCAGGGAACTTGGTTATTATTTTGGCCATTGGTTCAGACTCTCATCTTCACACACCCATGTACATCTTCCTTAGCAACCTCTCATTGGTGGACTTCTGCTTCATCTCTGCCACAGTCCCCAAGATGCTTATGAACATCCAATTGCAGACTCAGTCCATTTCCTATGGGGGCTGCCTAACCCAGATCTATTTCTGCATTTTGCTTGCCAACATGGACAACTTCCTCTTGACAGCAATGGCTTATGACCGCTATGTGGCCATTTGCCACCCCCTGCACTACTCCACCATGATGAGCCTACAAACCTGCGTCCTGATTCTGGGGAGCTCCTGGACCATTGCCAACTTCCATTCCCTCCTACACACCCTCCTCATGGCTCGGCTAGAGTTCTGCGCCAGCAATGTCATGCCTTACTTCTTTTGTGACCTTGTCCCCCTGCTCCAACTGTCCTGTTCCAACACCCAACTCAACCAGCTCATGATTCTCCTGGTAGGGGGTTTGATTGTCCTCATTCCCTTCCTTGGCATTCTTGTCTCTTACACCCACATTGTGTCTGCTGTGCTCAAGGTTCCATCTGCCCAGGGCAAACAAAAGGCCTTTTCCACCTGTGGCTCCCACCTCACTGTAGTCACGCTCTTCTATGGTACCATTACAGGGGTCTACTTGAGTCCCTCATCCTCTCACTCAGCTGAGAAGGATTCACTGGCTTCAGTGATGTACATGGTGGTGACACCCATGCTGAATCCCTTCATCTACTGCCTGAGGAACAAGGACATGAAGGGAGCTCTGAGGAAACTGTTCAGCCTAAAGGCATTATCTTGCAGGTTGTGACACAGCAGAGTTCCCCATTAGGGTAACTGTGTTTGGAGGGAAATGAACCTCTGGGACAGACTCCACATACAGAGAGCAGGAGGAACAAAGACCACACTGTGCCAGATTGTCAACACGGCCAGGAAATCCTCTCATTTCTCACAGCTATTTGCAAGTCAAACTTCTTGGTCCCCTGCACAGGGTACTATGGAGTGGAATAAACTCTCCCCTAAATACACAGAACCACATACAAAGATTCAAATTAGCTTTGTCTACAACTCTTTTGGAGAGGGTTGAAAAGAATATACATTCTATGCAAAAATGGTAAACTCATAGGCATCTGTGACCTGTGCTTATACTGTGTCAAAGTGATGTCCTATAGAATCCTCCACACATCCTCAAATTCTTAACACTTATGCATTCCAACACCCAAGCTGACACATTACTCCTACCCAGATATAATCTCCACTACATGCCACTTCCCCAACAACCATCCCCACATCCTGGGTTGACTCTATCTCAGAGGATAGGCATGACAGTCTTCCTTGATAGTCCACTCTTGATCTTGGATCCTTCTGGTGAGGGTTCTATAGCTATAGGTGCTTGCATTACCATGTTGTTGCTGCCAGTTGCCATCGAGTCAGTTCTGACTAATAGCGATCCATGAACAACAGAACAAAACACTGCCCGGTCCTGTGCCATCCTCATAATCTTTGCTATGCTTGACCCTATCATTACAGCCACTATATCAATCCATCTTTTCAATCGTCTTCACCTTTTTTGGTCTCTACCAAGCATGATATCTTCTCCAAGGACTGGTTCCTTCTGATAACATGTTCAAAGTAGGTGAGACTAAGTCTGGCCATTCTCATTTCTAAGAAGCATTCCAAATGCATTTCTTCCAAGACAGACATTCACTTTAATATTATTTGCCAACATCACAATTCAAATGCACCAATTTTTCTTTGGTCTTTCTTATTCACTGTCCAGGTTTCACATGCATATGAGGCAAATGAAAAGACCATGGCTTGGGTCAGGCACACCTTAGTCTTCAAAGTGACATCTTTGCTCTTGGAGATTTTAAAGAGGTCTTTTGAAGCAGATTTGCCCATTGTTAATAGGTGGTTTTACTTCTTGACTGTTGCTTCCATGGGCGTTGATGTGGATCCAAGTAAGATGAAATCCTTGATGTTTATGTTAAGAAGTAATCCATATTAAAGGCTGTAGTCTTTGATCTTCATCTGTAAGTGCTTCACCCACAGTGGCTAGGTTTCAGCATAGCTTCCAGAGACTAAGACAAAGAAGGACGTGGCAGACCACTTCCGAAAAACTTGGCCACTGAAAACCTTATGAGTAGTGAAACATTGTCACTATAAGGAATTCCTGCAGTGAATGTCTCACCATTGACTTAGCTAAACACCTAAGGCAGCCCCACACTTTCCCTTTTGAGGATTTTCCCTTAGAAAAGAAAGGTCTTCTATCCATATAAGGAGAGAAGCTGAACCTAGATTTGGTTCTCTGAGAAATAATATGAAGTAAACGGACCATCACAATCCTTCTGAATGTGCTTCTCTATGACTTGACTTAGAAAAGGAGATAAAGTCCTCATAAAAATGAGTTTATGGGTGGAGAAATTGTATTTGGTTCTCTGTCCAAGAAGGTAATGTCCTAGGCTGCCAGAGGCATGTGCAAACGGGAGTAGAATAAAGAACAATTGACAGAAAGTCCTAACAGCTGGCTTCTAGCCCGAGCTCCTCCAATCACTAATCATTTGATTCTAGTCGATCTGAAACTCACTATTCTATCAAACATGCCATGCTTTTTTTAGCCCCTCTATGCTATTCCAGCAGGCCCATCTTGCCCACCTCCATTGAAATTGAATTTGTCCTTCAAGGCTCATCTCAAATACCATGTCCTTCATGAAGTCACCTTCAAGTCTCCCCGGTCCAAAAAATAGTAAAATAAAGGTATTCTTTCCCGTTTGGACCTCCCAGAGAACTTGAGTTCTATTACAGTCCTTTTCATATTCTCCTTTGCATTATTCCAAAACTCACCTAAAACAAGAATGTTATATTCTTTGTTTTACAAAAGATCTTAATTCTTCTTAATAACACAATCCCCAAAAGAATCTATCACAGTTCCTGGTACAAAATACTCAATATAAACATATTGCTAGAGACGGTGGTGGTGGTGGTGGTGGTGGCAAGTGCTGGAGAAAGAACACTTGTGGTCTTTATCCTCATGGTTTTGACTTAACCTGTTACCCTAGCATGCCAAAATTAAGAGGTAAGATACCTACTGAAATCTCTATTAAAGGGTCTTCGGTGGAGAGCTGCATGCCTTTGCTATTTATCCCTAGATTGAGGTTATACTAATTCATCTTTTGCAATGACACTAACTAAATTTGGAAAATGAAATGCAAGACTATAGCATATTAAGGATACAAAGTTAAGACATGATGTCAGTAAGTGTTTTCTGTAAGAATTGAGGTTATTCTATGACACAGTCTAAACAAATTGCAGTAAAGTAATGGATCTCCCCTTAGATGACTCCTAGAGTCAGCTCCATATAAACAAAGTGGATTAAAGTGGAACAATGGACTATTTTGGGTGGAAGGATGGCTGGCAAGCATGTATTGAAATGCAGAAATGATACAGGGGAATGACAAGTTAAGGACAATTAGTCTTGACACCACTGGCATAAAAAAGATCTTTTGTAATGGCCTCCCTCTCCTAGCACAAACAAGGTGACATCTGAAACTACAAATGGTCCCATCCTCTTCCACTTCAAGCTGGGTTTTAACTTTCTATTGTGATTTGGGTGGAAGTGTACAGAGCAAATCAGCTTTCCACTCAACAATTAATACATTTTGATTTGTGACATTGACTGTAATCCCCACGATGAAACAGGACTCTCTCCACTTCCTCCTTGTGTTTATTGTTGCCATCCAATCTTTTTTCCTCACTTCCCACCTTCTGAACTTTATCCCTGGCCAACGTTGCCCTTTTGGTCTCGTAGGATTGGTTGTTCTGGGAAGTGTAATACCTTGTTGTTATAGATCACCTCTATCGTTTGGCTGAAAGTTGAGCTACGAGATGAGTTCAGTTCTAGGCTTAATGGGTGTCTAAGGACCATAGTCTTGGGGATTCCCCCAGACTCAATCAGACCAGCAAGAGTGGTCCTTTTTTTTTTTTCTAAATGTTTGACTTTTGCTCCACATTTTTCTCCCACTCTATCCAGAACCTCCTATTGTGATCCCTTTCAGAGCAGTTGGCAGTGGTAGCCAGGAATCATCTACTTCTTCTTCTTCTGGCCTCAGAGTCATCTTCCTTTTCTTTCAATAAATCTTATTTCTTTAGTTGAGAACAAAATCACACCTTAAGTTTTTTTGTTTTTTTTTTTTAACTAAGAAGACAAGGTAAAATTAAACAAAACAAAACCTCACTCAAAAGGAAGAGACTTTTTTCCAAACTATCTAGAATCAAGCCTTCTGTTGAAGCCAGCTGATGAACTGGGACTGGTTCTTGGTCAGGCCCAGAAGCCATGCGCTTTCTCCAACTCTCCTGTATTCCTTCGGTGGTGTCCCCATTGTGTAGATGTACCAAAGTTGTTTTCAACCACCTATGCTCGGATATTTGCACAGCTTCCACTATTTTGCGGTTCCAAATAATGCTGCGATGAATAACCTTGTGGATAAGTTCTTCCATATTGTTAGAAGTGTGTCTTCAGGGTAAATGCATACTTTTCTTTATAAAGCTAAATATCCTTCTATATGAAGTTGTACTATTTTGCATTCCCATCAGCAATGAATAAGAATTCCCTTTTGCCCATAACCTCACTAACAGAGCGTATTTTCAAGTTTTTGGATTTTTGGCAATCAGAGTAGTTTTACATTTCTCTTATTATGAGTGAAGTTCAACATCTTTTCATATGATTAAAGGCATTTTTATATCTTTTCGTGAATCCAAGTTTTGTCAATTTTAAATAATATTTTTGGCCTTTTTTATTAAATCATTTTTTAAAAAGTTCTTTCTATATTAATGGTATTAGCCCTTTGTTATATGTTGTGAATATTTTCTCCCAGTCTGCCATTTGTCTTTGCTTGTTTTTTGCCAGGCAGTTTTTTTTTTTTTTTTTTTTAAATTCTGAATCACAGTTTAAAATCTTTTCCCTACACCCAGGTTGTAGAGGAATCTATCCATGCTGTTTTCTAGTACTTTAGTTTCATTTTCTACATTTAGATCCCTGATCCATCTGGAAGCATATTCTTGCACATGGTGTGAGGAATGAGTCTACTTCTGTATTTTTCCAAATGGCTATCCAGTTATCCCAATACCATACTTTAAAAATAAATCGATCTCCACCCTAGTGATGTGAGATGCCACCTTCATTAGATGTTAGTTCTCTCTGTGTAGTTTGTTCTACTGCTGAACTTTCTATTCCATTCCATTGGTCTATTTATGTGCTTATACCACAATGTTTGAACTACTGATTTTTTATTTTTCACCTATTCATTTCCTCCATCAGCACCTTGGTCCAAGCAGTAGGGTCACTTATATATGAAGAGTGGGAAGAAGGTTGGGCAATCCTACTTCTGTAGTGATACTGCCTCGGAAACCCAAGGAGGGGTCGCTATGAGTCAGGGCTGACTTGACGGCACATAACAACAACAACAACAATACAAACTACTTATTCATTGTACTTCTTCTGTTCATATAACATGCTGAGAGCCCTTCTGCTGGAGTCAATAAAATTTCTAAATGATACAGATTGGGTTTTCCTCAAAATTTCACAGATAGTATAATACTCAAATAGCTCCTGGAGGTGGGTGTCCAGAATACAAAGACTTCTATGACCTTTCTCCTCTCAATCTCTATCTAAAAGCTAATTTACCACCTTCTCAAGAGACTGCAAATTGGAAGGGAAACCACAAGAGGCAAGTTCTTGGGTTTGCTGCTATTTCCTGGGCTCCAGCCACACAGATGATGGTGCCCTGGCTAGTGCACATGGAGTGATGGCAGCCCTTACACTGGAACCTATTTGCTGCTCAGAAAATGAAATCGCTTCTCAACTCCTCTGCTTCCTTAAGGCGCAATATTTGTGTTATCCAACCCTATGCATCCTCACTCTCCTAGTTTAAATTTCCAGAAGCAAACACAGGAACAATACTATCTACTTCCTCCACTTTATAGCAAATTTTTGTAAGGCCACTAAGGATGAGCTGCACACAATGATCTCTAGAAATATATTCTTCACTGAGATAATGGGAAAAAAAAAAAGCAGCAAGATAAAAATAAATTGTAAGAAATCCAAGTGAATTTCTTCGGCTTGTAGAATTTCTGATAATTAAATTCTGTATAATTGTAATTGGGGGCTCACACATAGAGATGACTGCCAGCTGCTGAGTGTCACTAGAGGGTAACTTGCTGTAGTGTTTTTTCCCAAAGGCACCTTCACAAGAGCCTTCTAGAAGAAAGCTAGTAGAAAACTAGGCCTTTCATTCACTTAAATATGTGTCTACTATGTGCTTTGAAGATCTTATTACAGAGAAAAATAAAGGTTGTAACTGGTTTTGTGGGGCTTCAGTGGCCCCCGCTCATGCACATGCGTTTTCTAGGGAATGAATCTAGGCCTCAAGCAAAGTTCCACTGGAATGTAGAGGGTCTGTGGCAGGTGCTTGGAGAGGGGCTTAGGCAGTGGTTCCCAAAGCAACAGTGCCAGAGACAGGTGCCTGCATATGAACCACGCAGGCAGCTTGTTACACATGTCCAGCCTCCTATCTTGAGATTCTAATAATGCTGGCCATCTGGAATCCCTACATTTAGCCAGTGATCTCTAAAAAACTTTTGTTTTTCAGAAAGTTAGCCAGGGCTTTAACCTTAACAAGAAACTACTCCAGTTCTTGAAATCCCAGTCCTTTCATTCAGTAGCTAAACCACTTAACTTGCTTCAGCTATTACCCTAATCGCAAAGAGTAGTTCTCAGTCAGGGTTGATCTGGACTGGACCCTTAGGGGACATCTGGCAATGTCTGGAAACAACTTTGGTAGTCACACAGTCACACAGGGGGTTGCTACTGGTTATCTAGTGGGCTGAGTTTGGGGATACTGTCAAACACTCCACAATATACAAAACGGCCAGGACACTGCAGCAACAAAATCATCTGGAAAAACGTCAGTGGTGCCAGGGCTGAGAAACAACAGCAGAGCTAAAAAGAGCAAGGAAGCAAGTTCCTGCCAGTTACTGTCTCAGTTGTAGGTTAAAAAAAAAAAAAAAAAAAAAAAAAATGATGAGAACTATAGCTTATGAGACTTATGAGACAAAGCAACAAATTACAATGTATGAATCTTATTTGGATCCTAACTTAAAAAAATATATTTTTTTTTTCTAAACACTAGTTATTTTAGCATTAAAAAATTAACTTTTTAAGATATGATAATAGCATTGTGGTTATGTCTGTTTTCAAAGAGAGTCTTTACCTTTTAGAGGTATGTACTGAAATATTTATAAGTGAACAACGATATCTGAGATTTTCTTCAAAATACTTCCGTGAAGGAGGCAGGATGAGATAGGGATAGGGAAAAGACAAGACAGCCCTGAGTTTTAGCCTATAAGTTCATGTGAATGTTCAGAATTCCCAGGTGTATAGTAGAGCTGACAAGGGGCAAGGTTATGGTCATTACTTGGTCACAGCCAGCTACCCAGAGGGACCGAGTAGTTGATCCTGCGGGCTTGGGATCATGGTCGCAGGGGACATCAAACTCCATTGGCATAACATACTATACAAAACATTGTTCCACCTACTACTTTGGCGAGTAGCGACTGGGACCTTAAAAGCTAGGAAGCTGCCATCTAGATGCAACAACGGGTCTCTCCTCGTCAAGAAGAAAGAAGAAAACCAAAATTAATGGAAACAATCAGTCCTAGTGACTGGTACACCATCTGATCTGCAACCTATACAACTATGAGACCAGAAGAACTAGATGGTGCCCAGCTACCACTGCCATCCACTTGGAAGGGATGTAGGAGATCCTGCATAAAGAGGGAGAACAATGTGGTACAAAACTCAAAATCATTTGGAGGCAAAAAAAAAAAAAAGAAGGTGGGGACCAGGTTTGCTGGTCCAATGGAGCCTGGTGTAACCACTGAGACTATGGCCCCTAGCTGCCCTTCAGGTCTGGAATTGAACCCACAACTGTGGTTTCCAGCCAAAGTACAGGCATGTGAGTTAAACATTTACCTCAAGTAGACACACGCCCTGGAGAGAACAATCATGGGAGAAGGAAGGGCTGCTTATGCACAGGGAGATAGCTCAGGGTGCAGAAGAGTATGAAGGGATGGACACTGGGAGGAGGTAACTATGGGGAGGAAGGGGGAGGGGAGCTGCTGCATTGTAAATTTTGGTCAATGACATGAGACAAAGTATATGTGAACTGCTGTATGAAAAGTGAATTTACTCTGTAAATCTTCACCCAAATCCTAAAAAAAAAAAAAAGGAAAAAAAAAAAGACAGCCCTGAGTTTTAGTAATTAACGATGAATACATGAGAATTCATTTATGTGTTTGAAATTTTCTAGTAAACAAAAATTAAGGATAGAAAACTACAGAAAACAATCAAATATTTGTTGACATTTTAATAGCTATCAAAATAGGCTACTGTAATCCCATAGAAAAACTTCCCTTTTAAGGCTTGAGAAATTGTTCATAATCTTTGATCTCAAAACAGGTAAGGGAAGAGGCAAAGTGAGAAAGAGAGCAACTCCTGACTCTTACTGAGGTTTCTGTCAAGAAATCCCATTGGCTGAAAACTCAGCCTTGTTTGGCTAAACATACTACCAAAGAGAAGCTACTACTAAACTAAGAAAGGGACAACTGATGAGCAACTCCCAGCCCATAATGGCTTCACTCATGCTGCCCAGCCTTGGAACACAGACCTCCTCAGAAAAGGCCAAACTCAGGCCAAGTCAGCCCCTAAGTCCTACAGGCTTAGGAAAAACACTCCACTGGTTCTGGCTGTCAAGTGGCTGTAAGCCTTGCTTGGCTTGCATAGGAAGTGGGGAGAGATTTTTATATACGGACCTTAGTATTCATGAGAAGTGGTACCACCCTTGTGTGGGTGTCTCAGATACAGTCAGCCTAGTAGGGGCAGCTGATGAACCAGGAGGGTTATTTGCTAAATCTAAATTAAACACCATGGCTGCTACCAAGAAATGGATGATAAAAATCAAATGTTTCAAAATGGACTGAGTAATACAACTCTGTGTTAAAGTTCGTTTATCTTATTTTCAATGGCAAATATCTCAGTAAAGGAATATAGTATTAAGAGGCACTATGAGACAAACCACATCTCGTAATTATAGTACACTGTCAAGAAAAGACAAGAGTCCCCGCAGCAGCCAGTGTTCAAAGACACCAGCACAAGGACACTGCAGTGCAGCCCACGTGAGTTACGCAGTTCCCAAAATTTTATGCAGGAAACCCTTCGGTGATGATAAAATAAGGAAGCTTAAACACAGTTACAAATACCCCATCCTCTCATTTTTTAAGAAGTATTTCTTTTTAATGCCTATATCCATTTGTTATTTTTCCTTAATTGGAACTTATGCAAAACAGGCTGCCACCACCTCATCTCCGGCGTCTGAGAGGATAAGGATCTGGATGCACCCAAGAGAGACTGTTCAGTGACAAGAAGTATGTGGCAAATGCATGTCAGAGCAAGGAGCCGAGAGAACGAAGAATACAGGCTCAAATCTCAGAGGATTCGTGGCTTGCCCACCATGAAGATCAGATACGCTCACTTAAATGAAGTGCCACAAGGTCAGGGACTTTCTCCCTCTGCTTTGTTCACTGATGTGTCATGAACACCTAGATGAGTTCTCGCCACATAGTAGGGCCTCAACATGTATTTGTGTAATAAATGGAGATTACCAAGAAAAGGACTTTCTATAAAGTGTTATCAAACATAGGGTCATCAATGTTAATTCACCTTTCAGACTCAGATCTTTTTAAACAACTTAATGTTTTAAAAGAACACTCTCATCTTTACCAAGGGGTCAATAGTAAAATATTAATTTGCTAATAGTTGACGAGTTGATGGTTATTTATAGTACAAAAAATAATGTAATAGGGAAATCTTACGGATGAGGGCAGACTGTTAAAGTCAGAGACAAAGAGGGCTGAAAACGAAGTGAAGTAGTGTGACTGCTTGAGAAAAGCTGCCAACTGAGAAAAGCAAGATCCTGCACGAGAGGGCCTGCCGTCAGGGCAGAATGATGGCAGAACTAGTGAGCCCAAGAACACATACGTCACACAGCACACACCACAGCGTAACTCAGAATACTCTGTGTTATTAACTGTTTCATGTTTATTGCCACTGCTAATCACAAGCTCCAGGAGAACACATCTCGACAGTTTCCTTCACCACTGTATTCCCAGTGCCAGGAACATAATAGGTGTCCAATAAATACCTGTCAAATGAAAAAGAGTAGGGGGAGGAAGGGAGAGAGTATGAGCTAGTGATCTGACAGGCAGGATACAGCCCTCAGAAAAACTGAGCATTCAAGCTGCCAGCATGTGATAAAATGATGCCTTTACCACCAGACTTCCTCAGGAGACTGAGAAGAACATGTCGTTATGGGAGAAAAACTTCACTGAACTGAAACTCAGGAAGTAGTTTCCTTAAGCTGTGGTACGAAAAACTTGTCTGCATCACTTGAGAGATGTGAGAAGCTGCGCTCTCCGAGAGCTTGGAATAAACCAGGCCTTGCCCTTTCCCATGTTTGAGAACGTGTGGGAAGAATTGGGTCAAAGCACCTTTCTATACTCCATCGCTCCCTCCACAGCCCCTCAGAGAGAAAAAGTGAATGACATCCCTCCAGTGAGGTTTCCCTCAAGTGGACGGTTCTGGAAGGTCCTGCCTTCTCCAGTAAAAAGAAAAAGAAAGGAGACATTTCAGCAAGGTGCCTTTACCGCCCCTGGGGTTTCTTGGCGATGCTGAGTTTTCTGGTGTCGGTTGAGGATGGACCTCTGGTTGAAGCTTCTCCCACAGGCAGGACAGTGGTAGGGCTTCTCTCCTGTGTGGATCCTCTGGTGTCTGACCAGCCGCTCCCCTTTACTGAAACGTTTCCCACACACCTGGCACCCATAAGGTTTCTCCCCTGTGTGGGCTCGCCGATGCACGGCCAGATTAGCATTCCTGCTGAAGCTCTTGCCACACTCACAGGTGTACGGCTTTTCCCCAGTATGAGTTCTCCGATGCACCTGAAGATGCTGTCTGCGACTAAAGCTTTTCCAGCAGTCGGTGCACTTGTAGGGTTTCTCACCCGTGTGACTTCTCTGGTGGACCTCAAGATGATGTCTCTGGCTGAAGGTTTTCCAACACTCGCTACAGACATAAGGCCTCTTTCCTAAGTGGGTCCTCTGGTGTTTCATAAGGTACTCTCTCAGAGTAAAGCCTTTCCCACACTCCACACAGCCATATGATTTCTCCTCTTCATGGGTTCGCTGGTGTCTGACAAGATTTGAGCTCCGACTGAAGCCCTTCCCACACTCGGGGCACTGAAAAGGCTTCCAGAAGGAGCTGTGAGTCTTGAGGTCATCAGGCAGGGGTATGATGCCATGCTGGGGAGTGGGAAGTTCCGGCACGTGTCCCACAGAGCTACTGGGCTCCTGGTCACAGGTCCTTCCAAGCTCAGGGCTCTGGAGAACAGCTTCCTCAAACCTCTCAGACGTCAATCCAGCAAGCGACCCTTTAATATCTTCCTGCTGGCTTTTGGCCTCCTTTTCCTTGCTCCCAATGCCTAGAGGAAGAAAGGAGACACCGACTGACTCTGTAATAGCTATGAAAGCAAATTTTTACATTAGAACTTTGCTTCTAAGAGTGTTCCTTCTCTTTTCTCATCTGATCAACCTTAATAAGTTTCACTTTCATTGAGCTTAACTTGGACCTTCCTCCACTTCCTTTCATCTCCATGACTTTTTACAGAATAGTCTGCCAAGTTTTAATGCCTTTCCACTTAACTTTCTACTAGTTCAAACTTTTGCTTTTCTCAAAATATATAACTTAATTATTTGCTCCAAGAAACCTCCTCTGGTTGTTCTCTTACCCTGAGGACTTCTTCAGCACTTATGGACTCAATGAACACTTTGTCTGTACTTTTTTATATGAGACCTTGTTGTAAGTGCTAAGTTACATTCGTCTAGATGTTTCGCCTTCTCTAGCTCATTATAAACTATCTCAGCAGTGGTGAACTACTTGCTGTATCCCATAGTCTCCAAACACGTTCTCAACTCTTTATCCCTACTCACAATGCTCCCCTGCCCAACCCACTGAGTAATGGATGTCCTGGGAGCCTGCCACAGGGTCTGGCTCAGGGCAGATGCTTGTTAACTGCTGGGCGAATGAATGAACCCAGTCTGTCATGAAGTTCTTGCATCATATAGCCTCTACCTTAGCATATTGTATTAGGTTTAAAATGATCATGAATGCCACAGAAATGCCCCCAACTCAATCCTTCCTTCAGTCCTCACTCTGATCCCTCTTACTCTCACTAAATTAACAGAACAATTGTTTTTAGGACAAGGGGAAGAAAGGAAGGGGAAAGAGAAATAAAGGTATTGGTAAGCAAAGAGGTCAAGAAGGAGGGGAAAAGAGAAATGGTAAGTAGTGCTTAAAAGGAGACACAGTCTTTTCGGGCAAGGCCATTAAAACATAAGAAGGCAACAGACCTTTTATGCCTCCTGATCTGATAAAACATGAAGCACACAGCCATCACCTATCATTTATTCTTTTGTTTTATAAACTTTTCATAGAAGTGCACAAAACACAAATGTGGAGCTCAAAGAAGTTTCATAACCAACACAACTACATAACCAGCATCCCAGTTGAAGAAACAGAGCATGACCAGCACCCAGAAAACCTTCTCCCCTCCCTCCTGGTCACTACACCCTGCCCCCAGGGTGACACACTTTGCTGACTTCTTCATGGTGAAGTACTTTTGCCTGTTCTTGAGCTTCATGTGGCCGATTCACATTGTTTCTGCTCATCATCACGTTTGTGAGATTCAGCCACACTGTGGTGCACAGCTGCAGCCGTTCTTTCTCATTAATACACAGTATTCTACCCTAAGACTATGTCAAAGTCCACTTATTAATCTGACTGATGCTCATTTGGGTAGTTTCCAGTTTTTAGGTGTTATCAATAGTAAATTTTAAACTAAACAAAATTCACGAACCTTAATTGGACCCTGGGGAAATATGAACACGCACTGTGTTGTGTGCCATCAAGTTGAGTCTGACTCCCAGTGATCCTATAGGACAGAGCAGAACTCCCCTATAGGGCTTCCTAGGCTGTATTCTTTATGGAAACGATCGCCAGGCCTTGTCTCTCATGGAGTGGGTGGTGGGATCGAACCACTGACTTTTCAGTTAGCAGTCAAGCACTTAACCATTATGCCACCAGGGCTCCTTCAAATATGTGCTAGATATTACATATTTTGGAATCGATTTGTTTTCTTTGGTAGAATTATGACGCTGTGCTTATGTTGGGAATGGCATTGTTAGGAGATACATGCCAAAATACTTAGGAGGTGTGAAAGATCAAGATGTCTCCAATTCTCAAACTGTTCAGCAAACACATACGTGCTAATAAATATGACAAAAATGTTCATTGTTAAATCTAGATAAAGGTGTGTGTTCACTGTACTAGTCTCAACTTTTCTGTATGTTTGAAAATTTTTACAACAAATTCTCAAAATATAAAGTTGGGTGAAAATAAAATGAAATAGCTAGGCACAATCTAGGAGAAAGAGAATGGGCATAGCAGCCAGAGATCTGGTTTTGAATGTTGCATTGGCAACTTAATAACTATATGATCACAGAGAACTCAACCAACCTCTCTGAGCCTTGGTTTCCTCATCTCTAAATAGGATTTCACAGTTGTCAAGGTTGCTGAACACACAGAGCAGGCATCCGGTGGCAGGTGGTATTACGTTTGCCCTCAGCCTAAGTACCTGACTTCCAACTGATGCTAGAGGCTCTCCACTTGTACCTCCTTTAATTCGCCTTCTCCCCTTTAAGAAAACATTCCCTTCCCTTTCTGTCAGTAGCTCCATCAATTTTCCAGTCTCCTGCCAGATTTTTAAACTTCTGTTTCTTTCTTCTCTTTTCCTCTCCTATGACTAATCTCTGACCAAATTTCTCGAAAGACATTTCAATAAGCCCTTTCTTCACTGCCATCATCCTGGCTCCTGCTTTTACCCCCATGTCTATATTACTCCAGCATACGCCCAGTCAGTCTTTCAAGCCTTCAGGCCAACTGTATCCTGCTGTCAATTCAATGTTCCTAAAGTAATGCTTTCATCACGTTACGCTGTGTTGAAAGTTAAAAAGGAGAGCACCCACAGTTTTCATGGCTGGCCTCACTCTACGACCTCCTTTTTTATCCTTTCTGAACATTTATCTTTCACATCAGTGCCCTCACCATGCCATGAACACATCAACCAATTCCTAAACACTACACACTACTCTGTCTCTATTTTTCCAAATCAACTTCCAAATTCTTGCCCAAGTTCAATGTCTACATATATCAACCCTCCTCCTACTAGTCTAGTCCATCCTACTCATCACTCTTACTGCAATTACAATCAAGACCACAAATTTTGTAGTTAATTATTTTCTTAAAAAAAAAAAAAGTAACTGGAGGGGATCTGAAAAATCGTCTAGTCTAATACTTCATCCTCCAGTCCTCTTTACAGTTGAAGAAACTCGGGCCTAATCCCAATCCAGCTATTGATGGAAGCACTGGGAAAACATAGGAATAAATGTCAGGAATATTTGGAAGGTTGAGACAGCTAAAGGATGATACACTTGGGAAACTAACCTTCATGTCATCCAGTCTCAGCATAAACACTCAGGAATGTGCTTGAGCTGTTCTGAAACAGTGACCTGGTGAGAGGGCAAGCGTGGAGCCAGAGTCTGTAGAACAGTCAGAAATGGCCAGAAGGGTATAAAAACCTCTGAAAGGGAGGGTAAAATCCCTGGCACAAAGGTATATCCCTGGGGGAGATGAAGGAACTGGCCCACCAAGACCCTCATCTGTGTACAACCCTTATCATGCAGTCCAAGCTCCTGCTCCGTACAGTCATCTCAGAGGCTTTCGATACCCTTTGCCATTAAAGACATTCTACATCTCTATGTTGTATCTTTCAGTCACTCCCATCAGGTACAGCATGACAACCTTGCACCCTGGACCCAAGTCTCCTACCCCATCCATCCCCCTGCTCCTTATACTATTTCATAATAACAATTATTACATGCATTTGGGCTCTTCATCTTAATGTTAAGATCCTTAGAAGCAAACCCCTTTATTTTCACACTTCATGGTGATTACTAGAGTGCTGGCCACACACAATAAGTGCAAAATAAATATTTTGGATAATAAATGAACAAATGTTGGATTTATTTAATAAATAAAGGAATCATTTTACAATTAATAAAATTTAATAAACAATAAATAAAACAAATAAACAAAAATATTTCACACTGTCAAATTTTCCAAATGTTTAGTTGTATAGTTCCACTATCTCATCCAATCTTCACAACTCTATGAGTAGTGTTCTATGATGTCCCCATTTTACAATGGAGGAAACTAAGACTTAAAAGGGTAAAATGAGTTGCCCAAGGTCACAGTCAGTAAGTGGCAGAGCCAGGCCTCTTTCATGTTCTGAAAGAATTACAGTGACACCCTCTTATCCCTCAACACATTTTAAGTTGAAAAAAGGTAAAGTGGAGGTCAGTACAGTTTTACAAAGATGCTATAGAAAGAAGATTAGAGAACAAAAGAGAGGGCCATTCCCAGCCACTTTTTAGTTCCTCTCCCTAATGTTCTTCCCATTCAAACCCATAGCCAATTTTCCCAATCACTCTTCACTGTGGCAGTCACCACAGCTCTGTAGTGCCCTCTGCTGGCTTTCCCACCTGGGCCCTGACCCTGCGCTTTCTGTGCTCCCTCTCCCTGTCTACTCTTTGTCTTGCTGCTGCTGCTACTACTACAAGCTCCTATTATGGGCATGACAGCAGCACCCTGTGACTCTGTGTCACAGTGGAAGCTGAGCCCAGGTTGTCTGCCTCCAACGGCTGCTAGGTTTGTTTACAGTTAGAGCCTGTGACAATGGCCACACCACCTCTCCCATTCTGATATCCTAGTACCTCCTCTACATATACACTGCCACCAGTACACACTGCTTCATGGACATTAGTCCCATCCACTTCCTGGCCTCAATAGAAAGCTACTAACATGGTACCTGCATGTAGTGGGCACTCAATAAATATCTGCTGAATGAGTGAGATCAGATGCTACGTCTTGTATATCTTTTCTCTTGCTCTCGAGCCCTTAGTACTCTTCAATCATGAACACATAGTACGTGTTCAGGGAAATTCTAATAACCAACCCAGCTTGTTACAGGCAGAATAACTGTCTCCTGCCTCCTTGCTCCACTGTCTGGTTCCTCTCCTGACAAAGAGATCCATCTAGCCATCTCCTTACATCCCTTGGTCCATGAGTCTTCTTCTGTACCTATTCACGCCTCTGGATATGAAGTCCTCCTCCTTTGTCAGGATGGGGTTCTGAAGTCCTGAGCTAGGCCACGAACCCTGACTTGTACCTCTTAAAACTCCTCCTTTCTTATCTGTGGGGTAGCAACAGGCTTACCTGGAGATGAGACCCCACAGTCCTCTGGTTCTACATATTCTCCAAAGCAGTCTATCTGGGCCGGGGTCACATGCCTCCACTCCTCTTCAGGGAAGGCCAGAGCCATATCTTTAAATGGCCCCAACCCCTGAAAAAATGGGAGATTGCTATGAATAAAGAAATCATTCCATTGGGTGAAGGGAAAGGTATAAACGTTTTACATGAAATAATTAATTTCAAAAAAGGAAGAATTCCTAAGCAGTACCAGTCTAACAGCAGGAGAGAACACACGTGACAATACTCTAGGGAAGAACAGAAGGTCTGTGCAGGGTCCCAGAAGCAGAACTGCCTACCCCTCAGCATCTCATGAGAAAAGTAATCTATTTGTCTGAGTCATGGTATTTCTGAGTCCCTGCTATAGCAGCTTAGCCTGTACCCTAACTACCACAGCAACAAATTTCCACTTTTAATCACCCCTAGTCAGTCCTCAAGCTTGATAGAGCCAGGAAGGTGCTATGTACCCCTCACCTATATCGGATTTTTGCTCCAGATAAAGTAAACATCTGGGCAAGCCTTGTCTTAGGAACACCACCACCATGTTAAAGTAAATGCACTCCCATTCATTACATCATGAATAAGAGCCATTATGGGAGAAAGGACGGACCTGACCACATTAAAAAATGCTTGATTCTCTATCTTCTCCATCCATGTACTTGGAAAAGAGAAATGGAAAATGATGCTCACATCAAAGCCTGCCCCAGTACTGCTTTACTAGAGCAGATCCAGCTCATTTATTTTTCTTTGCCAAACTGCCCCTTTTCTCCTTTAAGGGACTCTTCAAGACTCATCCCCTTCACAAAGGGGCCAACTGGTAATCAATGGGTACTAACTCTCGGATTAACCCAGAGATGATCTCCACCGCCTGGTAACACGGTCAGCACCTCATGGGAAAGATCTGAACTGGAGCAGGAGTGCTCTATCCATGGTTCAGTTGCCTCTACTTGTGGTAGGTTAACAAGTGCTGACAAGGCCAAAACTCCTAGTATGACTAGAGTACCGGCCAGAGAGACCACTCAACTCAAGGGTTCTGGGAGCTCCCAACCCTAAATCAGCTACATCCCTGCTGACAGCAGCAGAAGCATCTATAAAGGGCTTTCACAAAGAGTTACGAGCTCTGATGGCATAGCGGTTAAATTATTTGGCCACTAACCAGAAAAAGGCTGGCAACTTGAACCCACCAGCCATTCCGCAAGAGGAAGATAAGGCAGTCTGTTTCCATAAAGATTTACAGCCTCAGAAACCCTACAGGCAAGTTCTATACTATCCTAAAGGGTTGCTGTGAGTTGATAAAAGTTAGTCTCCTGGCTAAACACCATGCCTAGATCATGCCTATGGAATCAGGATCAATAAATCTTTCTCCTTACAATGGTAAGAGTAACACCAATGAGTTAAACTATGGCTTAAGGTCCAAACATAAAGCTCAGAGCAAATTAACAACTGGGGACAGTAAGGTGGAGAAAATGAAGCTTTTATGTCCATCAGAACTAGAAAGGCAGAATAACTGGAGTTTTGATATGTAGAGATACTTGGGAAAGGTGAACCTCATTCAAAGCAACTTCATGATCTCTGGAAGGGCAGAGTGACAGCTTACCTGGGATCCAGTGGTGAGGAACCCAGCTGCCATCTCTTGGTCTCTGCTGTTCACTGGGGGGAGGCCGGGACCAGCCTGAAGAAGAGGCAGAGCTGAGCAGAAGGAAAAAGCATAAGAAAGATGAGTGCTGTTCTGAAGTGAGCTCATTCAATAATGTCCCTGCCTGACACACACAGTCTCATAAGGAGACTCCAGATACAAATCCCTTTGTTTCTCACTTTCCCATATAGAGAAATTTGGGTATATCTCACCCGATTCTCAGCTGGGAAGACAGTCCCAACCCAATACATCCTGTCCCTTCAAGGCTATTCATGCTCCTCAGTCATGTTGAGGAAATAAGCCCTTTTGAGATTCAGTAACAAAGTCACATATTACTCTTAGGGATATGGTTTATCTGCCCACTGGGGGTGGGGTGGGGTGGGAAACATCCTTACATGTATCAGCTGCATATTTCTGGCTGGTTTCTAGAAGGGTCATGAGGAAAAGGAGAGGAGAACAAATGTTGTTGTTTGCTGTTAGGTGCCATCGAGTTGTTTCAAACTCATAGCGACCCCATGCACAGCAGAATGAATCACAAATAAGATAACATAATCTCAGATATCCCCTCCAAGAATCAGAGTCAAGATATAGAAAACCATTTCACTTCATCTGTTTCCTACTGAGGTTGAGAAAGTAGCCAGGAAAACTCAGAATTACACCTTGTAAATAACTTATCAATTGCTGGGTTTCTAATGTGAAGAGGGGACGGGCCGAAGTTTTCTGTGTCCCCACTTCCTTACTGTGTACAACTTACCCTGCTCCTGGAAGGCCTGCGTCCCATCTCCAGGGTCCTGACTGAGTTGCTCCTCAGTGCTTTGATCTAGGCCTTGAACTTCTTCCCCATGAGGCAATCCCCACTCAGGCTTGACCTCCACTGGCCCCAGGTGGACACCTGGTTCCCAAGGGCCTCTGCAAAGTGCTGCCTCGTCCTGGTCTCCCTGCACGTGGCATGGAACCTAAGAACAGTTCCCAATACCTATTAGAATGAGGCCTGGGTAAGTCTGTGATGAAGGGAGCTGAATTACAACCTAAAGAGAGAGCCAAGAAAAGAACCATTCCTGCACCAGGGGACAGGAAGGAAAAAGTCAACTCAGCTCTTCCCCAGGACATCAGTGAGGAAGTCCCCAAGAAAAGGAAGCTAAACTCCCTTTATCAGGCTTTCAGTAGCTTGTATCTGTCCATGCACTTTTATAAAGGTCCCTTCTGCCTTTCTTGATACTGATCAAATTCCACCATGAGTAACAACAGCCCGAATATTGTCTTCTTGAAGAGAACTTTAGCACAATGCAGGGAAAGGAAAAAAAAAAAAATTCTAGTCACAGAAGCCAAAAGTAAAAGATACAAAGCCAGATTTTCTGCAATGAATCAGTGAGTGAAGAAAAGTTGCTTGGAAAATAGGGTAACTTTCCCACAGAGATACACTCACATAAACAAGGACCTTTCTGGTCCACTTTTAAGCTCCCAAGTTAAGAATCTTTAAAAAAAAAAAAAAAAAATTCCCTTACAATTACATAGGAAGTCTGGGTAACCACTAAGGAAAAAAAGTGAGGATACACTGAAAACAACTGGAAAACAACAAGCAAAACAGTAACATGTATTCCTCTCTCTTCTTTCCCAGTACAGAACAGGGACAGAAACACAGCCAGAGTCTCAAGGAAACACCCATGGTACAAAGTAACTTGACACAGTCAGAACAATACCATTTAATGGCTATGTGAGTCAAATAAGGCGTACGAGCTGACTTCCCAGACATGGAAACAGACTGCATATTCACAGGACGAATACTCACCAAGTGGAACTCCCTACATTTCCACGTTGCTGCCCAAAGAGAAATAATTCTATCAGGGCCTTTGAAAGCAATCACAGCTGCCTTCCTTGGGCCTGAGGCTCACAAGGGAAATATGGTTGAATCCCTGCCCTGAGACCCAAAAAGAAGCTAAATACCCTTCCACACCCCTGTGTCTTCCCTGGGAATGGCTTTTCTTGCTGAAAACTGCACTGCCCTCCAAAAAAAGTTCAGAGCCTGGGAGCAGAGAAGAGAGAGAGATGCTATGTCTGTCTCCTCCACTCCCATGGCTTCTTCAAACCTTTCAATTCTTTGAAACTCCCCTTCCCACACCAACCAGACAAAAACCTGATACCCCTTCTCACCCACCGCCTTGGCCTCCAGTGCTCGCTCTGTCTTGTCTTCCATCATGGCCACCAAGGCCTTGCTGCTCTCTGGGCAATGCTCCCGAATCCAGGCATAGAACTCCCGGGGTAGGATGGTCAGGAATTGCTCCAGCACCAGTAGCTCCAGGATCTGCTCCTTTGTGTGCAGCTCGGGCCTCAGCCACAGGCGGCAGAGTTCCTGGAGCTCCCTGAGAGCTTCCTGGGGTCCAGCTGCCTCCTGGTAGCGAAACTGCCGAAACCTCAGACGGAAAGTCTCAGGACTCGAGTCCTCCCTTCCCTTTCCCCATGGTAACTCTTTCTCCAGCTTCACCACAGGAGCACTCATTTGCTGCTGAGGCTCTTCCGCCATCCCTGGACGCTCTTTAAGCATCTTCACACTCCCTCCCGGATGATGAGGGCCTGTTGGGAAAACCAGACAGCAGCATGAGACACATGAAAGGTCAGTCCCCAGTTCTGTCTCTACATCAATGAACATTCTGATGGAGAACAAGGCAAGTGCCTTCTATAAGGCACTTAAAAAATAAACATTTACCCAGAAATTCATAGTAATTCAATTCAGTAAGTATTTGCTATGCACTTATTTGATGACAGATTAAATAAATATATAGAATTTAGCTTATACTCACAGATCGCTCAGGGTCTCATTGGAAAGAGAACAATTTGAGAATACTATTCCAAACTAAACCCAATGGCATCAAGTTGATTCCAACTCATAGTGACCCCCACTGGGTTTCCAAGGCTGTAAATCTTTACAGAAGTAGATTGCCTCCTCTTCCTCCTGAGGAGCAGCTGGAGGGTTTGAACCACTGACCTTCTGGTTAGCAGCCAAATGCCTTACCCACTAGGACACTAGAGCTTCTTTAGAAAATACTATTAAATGCCTTACGGTCAAGTTGGTTACCAAGTTGGTGCCAAAATTAAAGGAAATGTGTGTGTGTGCACGCGCGCACCACTCATGAAACTAGAAACACAACACGAAAATACAGAATTAAAACAAAGTGTCTGCCCTCTTAAAGATTATGTTCTAGTGCAGCAGACAGAAAAAAGAAATATAAGCAAATAAACAGAATAATAAGTTTTAGAAAGCAAACAAACAGGGTGCTCTGAAATGGGGGATGAGAGACTCAGAGAAGGCTTTTCTGAAGAGACGAGATTGAGGCTGAGACCTGAAGGATGAGAATGAACCGGCTTTTCAAAGGCCATTCCAGGCAAAAGCTTTGTGGCTAGAAATTCCTCAGTACATTTGGGAACAAGTCAAAGTCCAGTTTGGTTCCAGGGTTATCTGTAAATGAATGCCCTCCACATTACTCTAAAATCACCACTTCCGCTTTCCAAAGCGTTCCGCTGCGGCTCAAGGGTCCCCTGGGTTCCTGTTAGGTCAACACCTGCCGGGCGGGATAGGCATCGTTCCTACCTCAGGTTACTCTACGAGCAGTGCCTCGTTGCCCGGCCCAACAGGGCCTCTGTGCCGCCGGCTACAGCTCCGGGGAAACCAGCCGCGCGCAGGCGGGGCTGAGCACAGAGACGTGCTCTTTCCCCGGCCCGGCGCTGGGCAGCCCGCAACGGCGTCACACCCCTTCCCGGTCGCCTGCTCTACCTCCGCCCCTGTCCGTCGCCGCAACCCTGACCCAGCACTCAGCCGCGCTTCCACAGCGTCAGTACCCTCCGAGGACCGGAAGTGAGCCGCAGACGCTGTCAGAAAGGTCTGTGAGGAAAAGCCCTTTCCGGTTCCTCTCTAGGAATAGCGGAGGTCTGTGCGTCTCGGTGATTGCTCGTTCCGGTTTGCTGGCCGCTTTCTCCAAACCAAACCAAATCCACTGCTATCCAGTCAATTCTGACTCCTAGCGACCCCCGTTGGGTTGCCAATGTTCTTTAGGGAAGTAGATTGCCCCATCTTCCTTTCGCGGCTGGTAGGTTTGAACGGCCAACCTTCTGGTTAGCATCAAATGCCTTAGGCACTGAGCCACTAGAGCTCCTTGTCAGCTCTCCTGGGCAGCAAAGCGGCATTCGAGCCGTGGCTTTGCCGCCTGCGCCCGAGTGTGGCAGGGCGACCAGGGGCTCCTTCCCTTGGGGCTGACTGCCCTCCTCGAAGCTCAGCCGCCAGGTTCATTTCTGCCTCTGTGTCTTTGCCCCTGCTTTTCATCCGTAGGAAAGTCTCCGACACGGTAAATCGGCCTCAAGGTGTCCAGTCGCGCCCCATGTGCATTACACGAGGTTGAGAAACAAAGGCAGATCGATAGACGCAAGCACCGAGTGTTACAGGTTCACCTGGAAGGGGCCTGGCCCGCGGATAGAGTGGGTTTGTGTGTTGAAGGGGGGGAATTCCGGGAAGGCTTCCTAGAGGAGCTGGCGTTTGAGTTCAGTTTTGAAGAGTGAACCGACAAAGTAGGTGAGAGTGCCTCCAGCAGAGTGAGGACGAGCCCGGGAAGTGTGGAGGAATTGATGGCATTTCCACACACTGAATTTAAAAAAAAAAAAAAAACCACCTGCCACAGACTCGATTGGGACTCATAGGGACCTCTGTTGCGTTTCCAAGGCTGTAAATCTTCATTGAAGTAAATTGCCCCATCTTTCTTCTTTTTTCCGCGGATGGCTCCTAGGTTTGAAATGCTGACCTTATGCTTAAAACCCAAACGCCTTATGCATTACATCACCAGTGCCACTGAGTCGCCAGCCTAACTTGGGGTTCTCGAAAGCTATCCTGAATGGGAAGCGCTGGACAGTTAAAGGCGGGAAGTAACAGATTTTAGAACGATGTTGCTGACAGCCCTTAGAGAAAGACTGGAGAAGATGAGATGAGGTATCTGACATTCCAGGTAAAGCGAGATTAAATAATGTAACCCAGGACAGGATTATTGGAAGACAGAACTGAAACAGTCAGTGAGACTAAATTGTAAGGATATGAAACTGATTCAGGGGGTAAAATTGGCAAGGACTCGGGATTAATTGGATCCGGAGAATGAGAGAAAGGATGGAGTTAAAAGTGTCCAAAACAAAACAAAAACAAAAACATGGGAGAGCTTGAAATGGGAAAGTTCTAGTTAAGACTTAAACCCAGAAACCATGAACAAAGATGATAAACACTACTGTGTACAAAGTTTTAAAAACTTCTGCATGGGAAAAATACAAGTAAAATCAAAAGGCAAATCACATTCTGGGAAAAAAAATGTTTCTAACTCACATCACAAAAAGTTAATTGCCCTACTAGATCAAGTGCCTAGAAATTATGTTGAAAAGGGCCAACAGCCCAACAGAAAAAAAAAAAAAAAAATCATAGAAAAAGAAATACTATTAGGCATATGAAAAATACACTCTATTCACTCATGATGAGAAATGCAAACTAAAATAGTATTGGGATACCATTTTTTACCTATCCAATTTGCAAAAACTATTCCAAAAGTTTAACACAGATTTGGTAGGAGAAACAGGAAGTCGTATATATTTCTGGTGGGATTGTAAAATTGTTGCAACCTTTACAGATATTTAGAAGCTTTCTTTGGTGACGTAGTGCCTAAGGCATTTGACTGCCAACCAGAAGTCTGGCGGTTCAAACCCACCAGCCACTCCTCGGAAAGAAGGTTGGGCAATCTACTTCTGTAGTGATACCGCCTCGGAAACCCAAGTGGGGGTCGCTATGAGTCGGGTTCGACTTGACGGCACATAACAACCTTGCAGTTGGTAGTTGAGTTCTTTCCCATTTCTCTGGTATGTCCCTTTGATCTTTGAAAGCTACCAGATCTCTATTTCCTCAGTTCTAAAAGAATGTGGGAGATTACATCTGCCCTTCAGATGTTTTTGGCTTTGTCATTTAACCTCCATTCCATGCAGCTTCCAAATTTGGCAGTTGTCTTGAGGAGTAGACCAGGCATGTGTTTGAGGATGGCATCATTCTTCAGGTTGAACTCTGTCTCCTTAAAAACATGAGACTATAGGACATTTCTGTTTGCCTTCTGAAAGCTTCCAAGACAGCCCCAGAATTCATTAGATGTACCAAGGGTGTAAACATCCATGCATTTAAAGGACTCTTGGAATTTCCAAAGTGTTGCCCCAGCCATGAAAAAGTTTCACTCCTTTTTCTTTTGCCCAGCAGAATCTTTAGTACTGGACCAAGCATGGCTCTTCAGCCTATATTGAAATCAAAAAAAGTACCCGGGGGAAAAAAAAGAACCAGTAATAGATCACGTGTACCTTGGAATGTTCTCTCCCCTCTGGAAGTATAATTCATTTAGTCCTCTTTGCTTTCACAGATTTCCAATGTCTTTAAGTACATATTTGCTCTTTTTAATTTGCTGCAGCAGGAACAGTGCTGTAACATCATATTGAGAACTAGGACTAACTTAATACAGTTTGAATTTGCATCTGTTATACTGTAAGTTAAATCTAGCATCTTTTCATACTTTGATGGCCAGTTTTACTTATTTTTTCAGTAAAAAAAAAAAATTCTATTCATGTATTTTTTTTTTCATGTTTCTGTTGAGTCATTTGTTTTTTTCTTCTCAATTTCTAGGAGTACTTCATATATTAAAAAGATTACTCCTTTGTGATATGGGTGGCAAATACTATTTCCAGTTTCTTTGTTCTTTCATTTAGCATATGTTGGTTTTTGTTTGTTTTGTTTTGCCAAACACATTGAAGTTTTTTTTTTCTTCCAATGTACTCACATTTATCAATCTTTTCTTTCTGAATTTTTTAGTCATAGGTAAAACGACGACAGTGGATGAGACACCATGTTGTTGTTGTTGTTGTTAAGTGCCATCGAGTCGTTTCCGACTCATAGTGACCCCATGCACAGCAGAACGAAACACTGCC